AATCATTTCGCTTCACGCGCTCGACCGAGATGGTCAAATGTTGAACAAAAGATCCCGCTATGCTCAATATTTCCCTTGCTCTCTCTCTTTCTCGATGCTCTGCTTTCTCAAATGTGTACATATATGTGTGTATGCATGTGAGTACAAGCAGCAGCAAAACCCCATTTCTTCCCTTTTGAGTGAAGAGTATACCGAACTCTTCAAACCGTTTGCCAAGCTCGTATATACAAAATATTTGCGTTTTCGTTGTTATTTGTGGGAAGGGTATGATGGTGTTGTGTTCATAATGAAAATGCACACGCATACTAGAGCCCCTTGATACATGTATGAGCATCTGTATGCCTGTATGCGAAGCTCTTGCTGCCTGTAGCAATTTCAGAGCTCCGAATTTGCATTTGGTAGATCTTGTGAACTACTCACACATGCATACATACATATGTGTACGCAGGGGCCGCGATGATCACAAATGATGGGGTATCATTGAAGAAGCATTTCAGTGCCTATGTGCCTTTATATGTGCGTCTGTGTATGTTTATGTATGTATGCATGCGACATGAGCATTGACGTGTGCCTAAAACAACTTAAAATTGTGTGAACGATTTTGGGTTTGAATTGAAGAGGCGCTAGTTGTCTACTCTATGGTCTGGTTAGTGGTACAATCCAAACATGCGAATTACATGGGTATCGGAGTGGTCGTATTATTCCGTCATCCAAAGGTTCTTTGATCTATTTATTGACTTCGTCTTTTATCGGTGTCTGGAATTGATAGAACTTGGAGTATACCGGGGAGTCGGTTTACCATTATTATCTCTGCTGTAACATTCGTTGTGTATGTCAGTTTTTCGTTAGGTTTGGCAAACAAGTTTGGATACAATCGGACCAAGTGATCTAATCTCTGCTTTTGTTTATTATTCATATGATCGGTGTTTGGGATTACTGCCTTAAGTTTCTTTTCTTTAAGTCGTATGTGGATATTGTTTTTGATAACAGCTTTTTGCTGCTTTAGTGTGGGTAATAGGAAAAATTTTACTTTAATATCTGTGACCTGAATATTCGGGTTTGTTGTAGCTGCATATTATTGAGACAGTAGTGTAGGGCAGAGGAAAGATCTACTGGTTATTTTATACCCAGGAGTCTCCATTTGGACCTCGTACGAAATTATCTAGCGCTTTATCGCGGTAAACTTTCGTCATGAGAGTCTCAGTTTCTCTGCCTAACTGCATACATCTTATCTACTTCAAAATCAAAGATATAAGTTTGCAAACTGCTTGATGAAATTCCTCTACTGTTGGGCTGTGACTTTGTACCAACATTGTCATCTATACTTCAATGTTCCTATATCTGTTTTGCCTGCACAGTGAAGTGTTAAGCACTTGGATATTGCATTCCAGTTTAGAGGGACCTTGTATGATTCAAGAGCTGTATCAGCATTACCTGTGATCTTATTTCGTATAATGTGCAACGTGCCGAAATATTTTGGCGAACCAGCTCCTTTACATCGTACAATGAGAGTATTCGTTCTACACACTTTTTCCATGAACTTTTAACAATATCTGGGACTCTATCTAGAACACCTAAATTCTCAGTTTGGTTTGCGGCTGTTCTTCTTCTCTTCCTTTTACCTTGGAGGGTCGCTTCGGAATCGCAAGATTTTATTTTGTTATACTACTTTGTAGTCTAGATATTTATTATAGTTTTACGTGGGAGAAATCAGAGTATAATGGTTTTTTTGAAATGTATGTAACAGGCAGAAGGAGGTGGTGTAAAAAGTATTTATATCCGTCCAGTCCAGTCCAGTCCGTCTGTCAGTATGTTTGAACGCGTCGATCTCTGAATATATAAGAGCTAGAGACTTCATTTTTTATATGTCCGTATATATAGCGCGGATATCGAGATTATCACCAAACATCGATAACTCCTCCAGTTCTTTTTTATCGATAAAAAACGTTATCAAAAATCAGTTATAAAATTATATCTCCTACATCTTGAAAGCTAGTCTCACAAATTTTAATATATGTACATACAGTCGGCAAAAAAAGTTTAGGTACACTCAGTTATTAATTGCAATTTAATTTTTGTCATATTTTCGAGAGTAATTGGTCAATATGGGTCGAGGAAAGCCAATCCCACTAGAAACGCATCAAATAATATTACTTAGACTAACTCAACTGTTTTTTATTGAAATAAGTTAATGATAAGGTTTTGGTTGGTCAAATATATAATTTAAAAGATCGCATTAACACTTTTGTTTATTTCGTTTCATTTAACCACCAAAAAGCTTAATTAATATTGAACGTCTAGAAATTAAATTATTCAAGAAATAAATTCTCATAATATTGCGAGCACTGCAACGCAGCCCAAGCGCAGTCACCCATGTATATGCGTGTGTGTGTGTGTGTGTGTGTGTGTGTGACTTATTATGCGACTTTATTATTCACTCAACTGACTGTGCAGTATTGTTGTAGTAACGAGCACGTAGAATCTGTTGTCACGCAAAGCCGGTCCCTGCTCGGGGGCCGGGTAATTTTTATTTTAGCATAAATTGGTTTGTCGTTAACTTGTATGTATGTAAGTACATTTCCATGTATATACATATGTATTTATATATTGTGTATATCAATATACGACATACTGTGTACTAACAGCATTACTGCTAGTTGTTCGTCGTGTTTGCATAAATTGTTGACGTCAAACGTAAGGCAGGTTAACTGTACATAACATACCACGCCCATGCAAAATACATATGTACATATCTCACATATCTCCATTGGTTTTCAGTGGAATGTCTGGTTCAATGCCAAGACTCGAAACGTTTAATCACAAACTGCAATACATATAATATATCATTTAATAATAAATATCAAACACATTTGATCAAAAAGCTCTAAGTGAATAATTTATATATATGACAGCAAATATGCTAACATGTGTATTCATAGTACAATATAATATCTGCTTATAGACGCTTTAAAATTATAACATTTTCGCATTTTCTATTATATCAGCTTATCATGCAAGCCATCAGCATCTAGTGATTTGTTCGACTTAAATCATTACCTAGCATTACAGTTCTGACTGGAACTTTGAGGCTAAAAGTTATATTATATTATATATCCTCCACATCCTGGCTAAGACGAAATCTGTATGAGAAATAAAAACTATTATCTACTTAGCAAACAACCTATCTATAATTTGATTACTTACGTGCTCACAGGCCTGCTAAAAATAGAATTTAAAGGACATTCTAAATGGTTGCTATTGTTGCTGTTACTATCGATGTCATAGTCGTTGATATTCGAGCTGTTGTAGAGGTCGCAATTTTGTAAGTACTCAGATCGCATAAACGTGTTCAAGTCATTATCGTTATCATTATTTTCGGTGTAATCCTGTTCATTATCACGTTCCTGCTGCGACTCTACCATACAAAGCCACTGAGAGTTGTGATTTCGGAACTTTTCTAGCTGCACGGAAAAACAAAAAATTAAAAAATTTGAATTTCAAATATTAAAAATGTTAGTAACCTTTACTTCTATTCTTCTACGGGAATTCTTATTTAATAAACTTAGCCCTCCCGTCGTTCACTCACTAAAACAAAAGCATTTCGCATATGTACAAATTAAGAGTTCTACTATAAAAATTACCAATGCACTATAGGCAAAAAGCCCGAATTTTTGGCATTAATTGTCCCTGAAGATATAAAGGCTTGAATTTTGTATACATACTATTACGATTTTTTTTATAATTTCGGATTTTTTATTTTTGAAATAGAGCCACGGCCCCACCCTTTTCGCTTTTAGTGTCCATCCTGTTATTGCAACGAAAATTCTAGTCCCAGACAAGCTTTTATAAGCTAACCGTGAATATGGTTTTAGTTATAATTTTCTTATTCCAACTCAATATCATTCCATATTTCTTTTCTTCAGTATCATTTTCCTCTTCTTCGCTTTTGGTTGAACTATCTTTCCCAATTTTTCAGAAGGTTCGAAACTATATGGCTCTAGAGGTGCAACATTTTCTGTAGGCATTTCTTTTTTTCTCATTCGGCGAGCTCGTTCTTTCAAACTGAGACTAGAAATAAGTGGGTTTGATGAGTCTAGTTATCTATTGAATACGCCACTTATATTTTGTAATCGCCTACACTTCCTAGTATGAGATTTTCGTGCTCCAGATGCGTGCTCTCCCAAACTTCCATTATTTGATGCCCATGCACCAAAATGTGGTGGATAGTTGGGGGCTTTGGATAGCAAAAATATTATATGTAAAATATAATATGACAAACACAAATTGAACTGACTGACACAAATTGACTGAGACTCTGACCCCGGCCTGAGAATAAAGTAACCTTTCATGTTTTCTCACACAGATCTTTAAATTTCCCGGAGTTCATGCTCGCAAGAGATAGCAATTAATATTAAAAAAACGTTTTTTAAGATTTTTTGCTTAAAATATTAAATGGTAGAAAACAACTCAACATTTCCAAAAGCTCTTCTTGCTGCGTTGCCGTCATTACAGCTACCACTTCAAAACAAATGTGGTATCCTTTTCCGTTAATTTTTTAGACGAAACTAATACGAAGAGGCGTCGTGTCTAAAGCAAGCTCAGAAGCCAATTTTCTTATTAATCGAGGACCAGTAACGCTATAATTTAATTACTTTCGACCTGGTCTTTTAGGTGATCGGTCGAATGCACTTTATACTTGAATCAGCAATCGATTGCATTTTTTCAAGTGATACTTAATAAATCCAACTAGTTTTTTTTTTAAGTTATCGCCCGATAAGTTCTATTTACTATTTTGTAACGCTATAATCTTTTATAGCGCTTTGTTGTCGCTTGTTGCAGACCTCATGTGTAACTGCAACATGTAGAGTATATTGTGAAGGAGCAAAAATGAGCAAGAAGTCTTTTTATTATTGGATTTAGTAAAGATTAACACACAACTTCAAATTTAAACATTTCAAATACCTTTCAGGGATCAAAAGTTATATCTAACGAAACACACGTACGAATGTTAGTATTTGTCTACAAATGCACAATAGCAACATTTTGCACAATCGTACGAAAAATCACAGAACTACAAACAAATTTTCACTCATCTTATTTGACATAGCCTCCTGACTCTTTTCCATAAAAATATTGTCAACTATTTCAAACACCCAAAGATTTACACACGTTGAAAGTAGAGCATAATTTCAAGCGTTTTTTTTTCGATTTACCATGCAACCTTGAATTAGCTAACTTTGACGAGGCTTAAAACTTTATTGGTAGTCCGCAAAATTTAATAAAAATTGTTTTTAAGTCGGCTGGAGTTTTCTAAATGAGAAAATAAAACAAGTAAGAAGACTCTAGTCGAGACTGCTCGACTAGGAGATACCCTGA